AAAAGCGATCGAGTCAGCATCCTGCCATTGTGTCAGCTCAGTCATTTCCATCGTTTTTCCCATGAATTCTCATACAGTTGTTCGAGCGACTTAGCTTCCCCAGTCGGCACCCAATATTCCACTAACACTTGATTACAATTCTGCGAATTATAATCAACAACCACCCGAGAAAGAGCTTTGCCCACCCAGATTGGCACACCGCTGGACAGATCATCGTCGGAGGGGCGAAGGATAAGAAAAGTGCCTACGTCAACAAGCACGAGGGGGTCGAAACTAGTCTTCGGGCGATTTTCTTCGTCCAACAAACAGGGGTTCCCTGTCGTCGATGTTGACACTGCGAGGATAAGGTTGTTGATCGCTTTCGAGCAGCCGTGGTCGTGGCCAGAAACTTTCTTGAGGTTGTAAGGACAACTCGTTGGCGATGATCTCATCGCCATGTTAGATAACCTCCTTCCAGTAACACAAAGCTCTTTCTCTCCTACTCACCTCATGGTCATTGTAAGTGCACCACGTCGACCGCCTACACTCCAACAACTCGCAAAATCGAACAACATCATTTTTGCCATTCAAATAGTCATTTCGAGGAAGGGGTTGCACATGAGGCAGGTCAAACGGCCACGAAGGACCTGCATAGCTCTCATCGGGGTTTTGATTGAACCAATAAATCGGACCTTCTTCGGGCAACCATTCGTCGTCATCGCAAAACTCCTTGTACAACATGCCCGGATTATCTCCAACCATAAAAAATTTAAGCATGTGCGGTTTCGAAATACCGGTAATGTCTGACGCAACGCACGAGTCTACTATACTAATCTAATCTTCCATCGTATCGAGGAAAATACATTTGGGAGGCTTTTTGTGTGATTGCTCTATGAGCTCGACGAACTCGTCCATAGTATAAGGGTCTATTTCTTTCAATTTCTTCGAGAAAACATTGAAAGTAGCGTCAACGTCTGTATAGGTGTGTCCCACTAGCATGAAGCATATTTCTACCTCTTCGAAAACTTTGAACTTAACCAACAGCGCAGCCATCGCACATATGTACTTGTTCTTGTTTTTCCGCCAACAGTTATCCGCTTGAATGCGCAAACATTGTGGCAGTGGCATCCCGCTCCCTTGAATTTCGACAAGGGTTCTCATAACACAAGTAGCGACCGTGTTCGAATCGTGTTTGAAATACAGAAACCACGTGTATACATATATACTAGGGTCTCTACCGTGTGCAATGACACCTGTCAGATTCGTCTTCATCATCATCTCGTGCCTAAGTGCTTTCGAGTAGGATGCCCGACCTATATGGGGGATAGTTATTTTTTTATGATCCATGCCGTCAATGATGAGACACAAACGCTCGTTCGGACGGACCATCGAATCAGTTTTTGCTCGACTATAGTCCAACTGTGTTCAACTTGCCTCCTTTGGTGAAGTTTCATATCCTCTCGAGCTTGTTCTCGATCTCGAGGAAGAGCAGCATACTGTATACGTTCCTTCAACTCACGACAAACGGCGCACTTCGTGAATGTGTTAGAGTGCGCGAGGGAATCGTGGAAAAAGTTTTTCTGCCACTATTTATAAAAGTTGGACTTAGACACGACAGCGAGGCCAGCGGCCAGAAAATCTGATTTGATGGACTCATAAATTAATCGCTTCGTGAAAGCAGCCGGGAGTCGAAGCTTCGGTCTAGAAACCCCACCTTCGTTATCCACCTCATTTGGCATGCTATCCGCATGACACTCGATGAACGTTCTCATGCTGGCAAGCATGGCGAACGTTTTACTGGTTGGCCGATATTTCCCTGTCAGGCCATGCTCGGAACGCACGTAACCATTGTCGAAACGCTTTTTGTAGCTGTAAAATGTATTACGCGAGACACCGAGTACATTGCAGTACGCCTTGACGCACAGCGAACGTTCCAACTCCACAGGGCGGACACGTCTCTGTCCACCCTCATTCACTGTGAAATCCTTAATACTTTTCATCCACCACTCAACTCGCTCTACCGGACTCTTACTGTACAGTCCTTGTCTAACCTTTCGCACTTCCTCAGGCGACACGTCGTAACAACATCTAGCCTTGCAACATGCCATGCCGCACACCATGAACAATTTTTTTTTCGGACAGCATGTTTCTCACTCTTTTGTACTGCTCTTTCCTCCTAGCGTTCCTATTAGCAATGTTATACCTTCGTCTTTCCCCTGACAGAGGTGCGGGCAAAATCTGCAGTATCGCCCTTCTCTCTGCATCACCCCTGCGAGACGCTTCCGACCCAGACTGACTCTCAATTGAAATCGCATCATCACTTCGCATTTGCGTTGGACTCGCCTGTGCTGTGGAAAGTTCCTCCGAAGAGTAGTCGGTGGCAACCAACATCGTACTACTGGAGCTAGCGTGAAGCAAAGGTCCACTGGAAGAGGACTGTGGTCCAGACGAGTAATCAGTGGCCACCAACGGCTCACTCTCGTCATCAGACGATGCATAAGAAACACCCATCGGCACGCAACTACTGTGCGCCGAAGCTGTGGGGTTCACCTCACGAGGAATGTGGAACTCGATCCGGGAGGTAGACGGTTCTTCGCCCGCGGACGTTGTTGCCAATTCTGTAGGCAGTTGGATGCAACCTCCAAAGCTCTCACGAAAAGCGAGACTGCGTTTTCTGGGGAAAGTTGCAGCGGACTGTTGGAACGGCGAACTGTCCGAAGAGGTCGTCGGGGCCAATTCCAGATGTTGTAGCTGGTAACGCAAGTCGACGACTTGTTCAGTTTCCATAGCCCGGTTCATGTGGCCGTTCGCCCAGCCGTCGTTGGCGCCGTCATGTAATCGTCAGTGCAGCGGATGCAATTCCTGTCAGCGTAATCTATTAAGCTCTCTTGTGCAGATTGAACGGGTCATTCCAATTCGTGCCCACACCCTGCAAAACAGCGGAGCAAACTGTAAGCACGATTACTATAGAAGTAAGGGCTAACCACCCCCCCCCCCCC